AGGGTAGGTCGAACCCCAACTATATGCATAAACATGGTTGGAATTTACTAGACTAAGTCAGTTGGAAAACACAGGTATATAATTAATGATCAAGTTATTTATTTTGTAAGCACTAGTCAAGTGTTAGTATGGTTATATTTACCGTGACAGATTTCCAAATCTTGTTCTTGATGGTTACCGGAACTTGCCTCCAAGTGTCAAACCATATTGGAGCTTTTGTCCTTGCCAATACTCCAATATAAGATTGCATCTCTACAGCAGCCACGCCATACGGTTGTCCCTTATCATTAAACAAAACCGTTGGTTTCTGTCCATTTATCTTACGTTTCACAACGCGGTGCATTGAAACACATCCACGTTTTCGGAGTTTCAACCCACCCCTAGAAGGCTTGGCGACACTTTCACTTTCGACTTCTTCCCGCTTTCTCTTCTGCTTGATCTGTTTTTGTACATTGTCAGATATAGGCTTTGGCTTTGGGGTGACGGGCAAGGGAGTAGAATGGCTTTGCACATTCTTTGACCTAGAGCCACTCAATGCCTGCACCACTGTCAAAGTGCTCGGCCGATCTTTTCTTTTAAGCCTGGGAGATTTTTGGAGCTCGGGTTTTGGGGAACTATGACATTGCAGTTCATTACGGTCTGAAAGACCTTCAGGTTTCTTGTGCCTTGGAGAGGATCGGAGAATTGGTTTTTGGATTGCACCTCCAGCCTGCGCATTCTGTTTAGTGCTGGCTATATTCTGAAAGTGAGTGAAGATCAAACATTTCAGTCTAAAATAAGGTATATATCGAATAAATGCTGCGCATAATGAAAAATTGGGTTCTGACTCAATTTGTAGGTGTGTTATCACATTCATTTATTTAGGTGAATTTTCTGGAGTACAGTTTGTGATAAGGGACACTAAAACAGTAAAGTAAATTTGATGTCAAACATTACACAAACAACAAAGGTCTGTACCAAAATATTGTGATAAAAAAACGTATTAAGATTAATATTTTTTTAAATATATTTAAAAAAGGATGGAAGGAGTATTGAGTTGACTTTAGAAAAAAAATTGTTCATTTTTGCTGCTCTCAGGTCACATTCAACGAATTAAGGAATTGGTTGAACCCTTTCTGGTTCAACCCTTTTTGGAAGCAAGCCTTTACAGATAGTAAATTAAAAAGAATAACAACAAACCAATGAATTGTGACTTCAATGGATTCAGAAATGTAACCCTGACCTCTTTGGGGGAATCTGAGCAGCGAGGTAGACGCATGCAAAGAAGAGGCCAAGAAGAATTCGACAAAAAAGATCAAAACAAATTTGGTGACTATCGTTGGAGAGAATACCAGATTAGAGGTGTACGACTTACCTTATTTTAGGGTTTTCAGCTCCAATGTCGGCAAAGACCGTAGGTTATGGCTCCAGTATAGCAGAGGGAAGTTAATCGGAGAAGAAGGTTGAGTGAGGAGGCGACGGGAGGTAGGGTTTGAAGTTCAGAGCGGATGAATTGATTGAATTAGGTGAAGTTATTTTTTTGAGGCGTTCTCGGTTTTTGGGAGGTACAGTAAGGTCTGATACGTGAATCGGTTTTTGGAGGGTCCGTGAAATTTTTGAAATATTTTGGCCAAAATTTTAGAGGGAGTATTGCTGGGAAATAGTAGAATTTGGCGAAAATTTTAAAAGTTCTTTGCCAAAATTTTGCCACGTACAAGTTACTAGAATTTGGCCAATATTTTGGCAAAAATTTTAAAAGTTTTAAAAAGAATGTTCTCTATAAAAAAGAAATATTTTTTTCACATGTACATAGTAGATTTGACAAGTTTTTAAAAAAATACTTATTTCATCCGGAAATATTTTTCCCGTGTTGATTTGGCACGCTTATTAAGGAATAGTAAAAAAACGTAAAATTTTAAAAAATACACATACTTTCCGAAATAAAAGGTATTATTGAATTTTATCTTTAAAAGTATACTAAAAAAGAAAAGACGGACCAAAAAATAAAATGGGAAGAATATTTCGGGACGGATGGAGTAGTAAAAAATGTAAAGTTTTTAGTTTTAGAAATGAACTCCTTGTTCAATTTACTCTTTTTCAAACTCAAACGATTTTGTTGAATAATGTTTGTTATTTATTTGATAAAATAATAAATTTGTGTCATATCTAGTTCTGTATATGTTTTTATATAGTCTT